ATTTGAGAAACAGGTGGTAAAGTTTTAATGGAAATTTGAGTCTTAAACCTGAATGATGTAGATGTATGACTTTAATTTGGAATAAAACAATTTTCCGTCTTCCATAATTCAAAAGATTTATAAGCCAATGTCTATGGACAGAAAAAACATTTTAAAAGCACATATGGATTTAAAAATTAATCTTGAGGGCATAAAATACAGTGCATGTTTTCATATTATGAACAGGTCTGTAGGAAACAGAAGGGGGGATACAGCTACATGTACTTCATCGATGTACCCCCTCATTATGTTTGATGACCTTTTTTTTTTAATTTTTTGCTTGTCAAAGAATGTTTGTTTGGTGGTAGAATCCCCCCCCCCCCCCCAAATGAAAATGTTTGCTTGGACCTCCCCCACAACTGAAATTTCTTCCTAAAGACCTGATAGAGTCTTTCTTGGCAACTGATTTTAATTTTCATGCAGTTGAAAACTTGTAGTGTACCGGTAGTTGTTTTCCCTCTCAAGAAGGGATCCCCCTTAACCCCCCCTGGCAGCCATAACTTACTTTCTGTTTTCCCTGAGCTATGAGCCTTGTTCTCATGACATCAACTGGTTGTACAACTACTGTGGATACACAGCCTGCAATGCTCCCACATAACATGTGGGTCAGAGGCTTGTGGTCAGTATACACACCTTCTGGAAGGACCCTCCAGGCCACTTTTGTTGCTGCCTCAAAAGAAACAAACTGTTGAAAAAAAAAAAGAAATAATTCAAAAATTTTCTTCACCTTCTTCAAAAAAAAAAAAAAAAAAAAAAAATGGCCCAAGGCCTTAACAGTCACCTTATTATAATACAATTTAAACCTGAAAAGGATCCATACTGGAACAGCAATTAAATGATAATAACATTAATAAAGAAAAATAAACTGAAAGAGGAAAATATGTTGCTCAAAAAACAATAGAGATAGGGTGATCAGGGATCAACAAAATAATTTAGTCTGGTAATCTGCAATAACTCGAAAACTATTTCCTTGCTTGTACATGCTAGTGCTAAGTACACTCCAATTTGACACTATATGTATCATTAATCCAAACAACACAATTAACTACAATGTACACACAGTAAATTCAGTGAATTACCAATAAAATTACCTCTCCTGATCTTTAAATAATATTTGCAATACATAATATAAGGTACTGGGACCCATTTAAGAAGAGAACTTAGGACTAAGACCGAAATTTAATTCTGCTTATGACTTTCTAATTTACATAAAATTGAAAATGATTTCAATCTTTTTAAAAGGAATGTGGAAAGATATTTTTATGCTAGCAATTGCAAATTTTTACAATCAACTAAAACTTTTGGTATAAATCATAAGTTCTTTTGTAAAACGGGCCCCGGGTATCTACTATTCTAATGTAACTGTTTTGAAAAAAGCATTTTGATTGGCTAATGCACTGATGTTTGAGGCAGTAAAACGAGCATTTACGAAAGTGAGTCATAATAGAGAGATGCAAGAACACAATGCTCCATGACCCATTTCATATAACAAAACTCAACTAAATAAGACATAAACATCAAACAAAACGATTAAATTGCATTAGAATGGGAATAACTATCTTCTAGTTTGTTATTTGCAACCGTTAATGCTGATTTAAGGGTCACAAACATCCATCTAACCGGCTACGCTTACGCATCACCGGTAAAACTCAGTTTGCGCCATTAAATCAGCATTAACGATCGCAAATACCAAATTAGAAGACATTTATTTCCTAATTTACAAGTCTATGTGACCATTAACAAATAAAAAGATGTACAAACTTGTACAATTCCATATAGGACAGAGAGAAGCTGAGCTGGAACATGACCTTTCCACAGAGCCGTAACACCTTCCTCTGTGATTATCGTCCTAGTGGCTTGACTAATGCTCCAGTATTTTGATGTTTCACATTTTTTTAATGGTTCAATTTGAAGCTGAAAAAAAGATAGTCAACATACAAATATATGACAGCATACAAATAACAAACAACTTAATAAACTTCTCTAGTGTATACTAGTGATTTGTTGGGATCTTTTAAGTATTGAATTAATTTTTTTTGACATGCATTGTGTCATAACACAGATGGCTGTACTAACAAATTAAATAGCATATGCTAGCCATTTTCTCACTTCCTTCTTATTCCATGCCATGCCCTAGAAGTGACAGGTGAAAGACTTGCCAGAGATGCACCTGAGTCAGGGTCTTCTGGGGTGAAAGCAAAAACATCTAGGAAGGGAACAATTGTTTCTGGCCAGATGCCTTGGTTGGGGAAAGCCTCTAGAGAGGAATGTTTTAAGGGAGCCAACTCCAAAACTGAGGGTTTTTATTGTGTAAAAACTATTATTTCCTATGTAGCTTGTAAAACAAGATTTGATTGGTTTGTAAGCTGGGTGTAAATTTCCGCACACCAGACTTGAGCTGGGGTTAATAACATGACGTCACAGTGCATAGTCTCTCTATCACAAAAAGTAAATAATGTGCACTTGGGTCTGGGGAGGTCACAATAATTATTATTAAAGAAAAGGTATAAAATGTATGCTTTCGAAATTTTAAACACAGGAATTTGAAAATCTCACAGATAATTTTGGTTTTCTGTAGTATACATGCACAGATCTAAGGGGTGGTGTGGGGGTCTGGACCCCCCTCCCTCACCCGGAATTTGCAGAGTTATTTAATGTCTATACTGACTGAAGCAAAAAAATTGCCCCCCTTTAGAAAGTGTGGACCCCTGTTGAGAATTTGGTTTTTTCACCAATGGGAAAGGAGTTTATTTCATTTATTTATTAAATTTTTTTTTTTTTTGCTTGTCTTTTTGGGTTAGAAAAATTTTTGACTGGGAGTGGACCCCCCCCCCCCCCCCCCACCTCCATGGAAAAAATTCCTGGATGCTAACTGGTATATATCTTCAGTGTTGGTCATATTATGTAGTATTCCATTAAAACTAGAAAATTTTGTAAATTTTGACATTTTGAGATGCCTCCTCTGGAAAGCAGACTGTAAAATTTTTACTTTCTTATGCATAATGCTCAGTATAGTATTGTAATTTGAGCAAAAGGTCTGTTGTAGTATTTTTGTAACTTGTTTTGAAATGAAAAAAAAGAGAATCTCCACATAAAATCATACAGTAGATGTAACTATTTTGAAATAGTCCCTAAAAATACCCAGCCGGCAGCTGATAGATTTTCCCGAGACTGGGCATGTACACTGAAATCAGTTTAAGCTACATGTATAAAAATAAAGAGTTTTCCTATTATATTAGTTATCCAGGTTCAATCAAGGGTGTACAGGGATTTACCCTGGGTTTAATTCTATACAACCAGAGGCTGAAAGAATTTATTTCCTATGTTCCAGTAACCAAATAAATTCTTTGTAAAATCAAGTCCAAACAATGGTGTTTTATACTGTCGACCCTCCCTAAATAATTTCAGTTTATTATAACGTCAAATTTAAATAACTTTTTTTACCTTACTTAAAGCATAAAAATATTTTAATTAAATACACTGCACAAAGTATTGTGCAATGGAAACCCCAGTTGACCCCCCCCCCCCCTCGGTCTGCTTTACTACATTTGCTCCTTTCCTGTTACATTTGTTGTCATGCCAAAACCTGCACTTACTAGTAACTAGGTCATATCAGTTTTAATAAAATTTGAAATGAAATATAAAGAACTCTCGAATTCTATTTGGATTCATCTTACACTTCAAGTTAAATCACAGGGGCTTGCTCCGCTGTGTAAAAAAATATTTATTGAAAAAAAAATCACCAACTACTAAATTGTGCAGTTTTAGTAGCTGGTATATGATTTTTTTAATAGATATATTTTTACACTCTGGGAGCAAGCCCCTGTTGTGAAATGTACATTATTCTTTAGAAGAATTATCTATCGCATGATGTAACAGTTTCCAAAAATTACCTGAAAGCGGATTTTGAGTACATCTAAGGGTTGAAATAGTGCCCGGCTGACTGCCCCCGTTACTGCTCCAGCCAATGCTTGTTCAGGTGCAGAGAGTTGGGTCTCTTTCTCAGGAGTATACCCTACCATTTATTGTCAACTCTCTATATAATACTCTTTAGTTATTGCTGACCAATAAGCATACCATTACTGAAGAAGAAAAAGTTATGATCAAGAATGCTTCTGTAACAGTAAAAACAGGCATTATATTAGCTGATAAGTGAGACATCTCTGAGAGACTTCAAACATTTGATTTAACAGGTGAGATTTTGTTAGCTTCAATCCACAGGAGTTATATTGTGTTAATTGTAGTGATAATTTAAGAGTTAGCTGCAGAACTGTAGCTCTCTACTCGAGAAAATTCGGACAGACAAACCAGACAGCTACAGATCCAAGCATTGTAAAAACCTTGGATTTGTGGCAAAATATATCATGTAGCTATAAAAATTATAAATCCATATTAAAATACTTAAAAAAAACTTTTGGTGAATAAGTTTTTTTCTGTATCCCCACTGTTTAGAGCTTGAACCCTCGGAAGATCCTAAACTTTTTGAGGATCAGTCTTACCAGCAGCATACAACCTGTAGGGTTATAGAAAAAAGCTGCTTGCCAAAAGTCATTGCATTCAATTTTTATTTATTCGGATTTACAATATTTATGGCCAAAATATTTTTCTTTTTTTTTTTTGCACTGTAAATTTATATCCTATCTGGGATATTATATTCCATTTGGGAGGTTGGTCCCAACTAATCTTAGTTAGAATAATCTAACTGTGTCTCGGGACAGGCCCTCACCACACTAAACCGGGTCCGTAGGACATTTATCATTTTAACGATAGAACATTCTATCTAAATGACTTCGAACTCCTGTCCTTACATGCTTACAGTACTCCGATATTGATTCGGGACAAATATCTCTAAATTTCAACTGTCTATACCTTCCAAGCATAGATGAAAAAAAATCACTAAGCCAGTATTCAGGACCTAATTGAAACAGTGTCCAAATATCGAGAAAATTCGAATATATCTTGGAACCCACAACCGGATATCTTCAAATAACAATAAATCATGGTTGGTCACAAAAGGATTTTATGAATCCGAGTTAAAGTCAATTTCTGATATCAGTGAAGTGATTTTTTTTCAATTGCATCTTTTTGTTTACAAACATTCCACAATATTGAAGAAAATTTATCTGGGACTTAATCAGGTCCTGTCCTTAGGAAGGAATTTCTTTTTTGCGGGGGGGGGGGGGCACAATCAGCATTTTCAGTTACAGTTTGGAGAGACACTACCACCTAGTACCGAGCAAAAATTCCTTGAGATGCATCAAAAGGTCATCAGACAGTTGTATTATTGAGGGGGCACACGCTTAAACTAGACATGTATGTTTTTTTCTATAATATTCTACTTATTAAATATTATTGTGGGGGGGGGGGGGCACAACCCCGGTGCCCCCTGGTTCCTACGGCAATGCTTGTTAATGTCTCTGTATCTTTTTTCGCTGACGATGTATAATTTAAAATTGGCTTAGTGTTACATGGGTCCCCAACCATTTACAAGCATGTGTATTATTGTGGAAAAAAATACCAGTTAAAATACTTTTATACAAAAGCCGGAGAGGCTCATTTTTGACAAGACAAAAAAAAATATTTAACTCGTTATAACGAGATAATAATCTCGTAATAACGAGTTAGTATCTCGTTATAACGAGTTAGTATCTCGTTATAAGTTAATATCTCGTTATAACGAGTTAGTTATCTCGTTAAAACGAGTTAGTATCTCGTTATAACGAGTTAGTATCTCGTTATAACGAGTTAGTTATCTCGTTATAACGAGTTAGTATCTCGTTATAACGAGTTAGTTATCTCGTTATAACGAGATAATTATCTCGTTATAACGAGAAAATTATCTCGTTATAACGAGTTAGTTAGCTCGTTATAACGAGTTAGTTATCTCGTTATAACGAGTTAGTTTTCTCGTTATAACGAGATAATTATCTCGTTATAACGAGATAAAAATTGATCTAGAATTGATATATCTAAGTAAAGAATAGACCATTATTTATAGGAAATATACAGAAGCAAGTCGATCAAATTTGTTTGAAGTGTGCGTGATAAAGATTTTATAGAACAGCATACTAGTTTTTTTGTGTTATGCCTTTGATTAGTATTGTTTATTGGAAAGACCGAAGACAAATATACGGAAACTTGTGACCGCCTCATGTTGTTGTGTTATACCTTAACATTGCAAAATAGAATTAGTGTCATCTTCAAATGGAATGAATATAACATCAAAATTTTGTCAACTTGTACAAGGAGATCAGAAAAAAATGATATACTCTGGCTGATTTAACTGCCCTGTTCAAGCTTTTTTGAATTTGTTAAAATTATAATAATGTTTGCGTAATATTTGTCGCAATAAAAAATGCATAGAAATAATCCCATTATTTTGAATATTCCGAATAAATCATGTGGATATGAAACCATTTGTTATGCTTTAACGATCATATTTTGATAATTCCTTGCCTGTTAACAAGGAATACCAGTTCAATTTTATCGTCTTAAAGGGGCAAGATCAAAATTCAATGTCTGACAAAAAACTAAATTCACGTTGTTTTTATCATCAATCCCCCCTTTCCCTCAAAAATAAATATGATGAATATCAAGAACTAATACTGTACTTATCACTTAATAATTTATATATTTCTTCTGTTTATTAAAAGAAAGAAACATTTTAATTTACCAATTTGGCATGGAATCTTAAATTACAATATGTAATTTTTGCGTTTTTATTATCAATGTGGTAGAATTAAAAAAACTTTTGGAGCTCTTTATTCTACGGAAGCCACAATAAAAGGTGAAGGTCAGCATTAGTAAAAACAGTTGACATGTGATCCTTTTTGGGCATAGAATGAAAGTTTAATATCTAAAGTTTACAATATGATAAGCATTACTTAAGGTGTATTTCAAGCATAAATTTTGCCAAGAAATGTGTATTGTATGTTGAGACAGGATTTTTGATATTTTCACTCGTGCTTCGCACTCATGAAATTATATAAAAAAAAAAAAATTCCTGTCCCACTCGTGAAATAAATTCCATATCAACTACAAAACATTGAATATCCTCTATTTATTACCCCCCCCCCCCCCCAAAAAAAGTCATCAATCTCTTTTTGAAATAAAAATTATATGCTTGTAAAGTATACATAATAAATATTGTGATGAGGAAATTAATTAACGACATTGCTTCAATGTTGTATTAATAATATAAATGTACATATGTAGTATTAGGCCTATTCGTTGATCAATCCTAAGTAAAAAAAATATAAAAGTGAACTGGCTTTGTAAACTCCGTTAACTTTTTTTTTTGTTTTGTAAACTCTGGTTTGACGTTCTGACACTATGTGGTAAACATATAGGATCCGCCAAATAGACGTGAATCTCAAATAGGTCTCCGTGAATCCCCACAACTTGGACCCCCCCCCCCCCCGCAAAAAATATAAACAGTGAATCATGACAGAATATTAGATAAAATGTCAATATCAGCAGATCAGATTAACGTCTTATTACTTAAAAGGATGTAATATCATTTTTGCTTCACCATTCCTCATTATCTTGGACAATATGCATAAGCTAAGTCACGAAGTTCAAGGAGGGGGGGGGGGGGGGTAAACCAAGTAAAATATTTGACAAGTAAAAAGAAAAAAAAATAGATTTGATATTCCAACTACGAGTATTCGCCATTATTTTCGGAAGATATTTACTCAGGTAAAAAAATATGGAGGAAGGGGCACAAAGATACTCTTGACCGCCCCCTTTTCAAAAGTGGTGGTGTGGACATTAGCCCTTCTATTACTACGCTTATGATCTAACTGCTGATGTCTCACCATCCCCAGTCTTCAAAACATTTCTGAATCTCAGAAGTAACATATGTATAACACTGTAATCTATATATTATATGTTGCATAAACGATATGTTGCACTTATATTGTCTCTGATATTTAATTTTAGCGGTAGAGAAATTGATATATGAAAGTGTATACCGGTAAGTCGTCCAAAACATATCGAAATAGTGTCATTCATCAGAAATAGTTGTCATAAATAAATTGCCAAAGTTTGAAGCAAGTATGTTTGGCAATATTATTTTAAGAAAAATATCGCGTCCTAAAGCAACAATTTGAGGAGGAGAATGTGTTCGCCTTAGAGTTGCTATGATTATTGACAGCGAGATAGTTCAAGATTTAATCAGATTTAATCAGAAGTAAACCCCAGAGCAAATTAAATTTTCAAACATTTATCAATTGTTCAAGTTAAATTTGACTGATAATTACTTGCTAAAAATTCAATGGCATTCAAAACTGCAGCCATTTTTATTCCTATATTGCTATTAAGTCTCGAAATAACAAGAAAACTGTCTCGTTATAACGACATAACTAACTCGTTATAACGAGATAATTATCTCGTTATAACGAGATAACTAACTCGTTATAACGAGATAACTATCTCGTTATAACGAGTTAATTATTTTTTTATCTTGTCAAAAATGAGCCTATCCGGCTTTCGTACTTTTAAATGCTACATACGTATTTTTTTCTTCTATGGATGTACGATAAATTAAGTTATTACTCGTGAACTGTTATCTAAATACGTACTATGATGATTTCGTCTCACCTCTGGTTTTACAATTCCTACATTTTTCAATTTCAGTCCTTTAATCATCTGCCAAATATATCAAAGACAAATAAGTATTGATTAATTTTATCGTTTGCAAGTTGCTGATTTAGACAGACAGACAGAGGGACAGACAGACGGACGGACAGACTCAGAGGAAACCTATAGTCCCCTCCGGTTTCACCGGTAGGGGACTAATAAACAGCACAAAATATCACGTTAAGATTCAAATTAATTATTCTATCTATGATTTGTCTGACAATTTTACATATGTATATAAAATATTAGTTTACAAGAATGCAGACTTTGGAAAACTAAATGCATTAACTGCAAGTACTGATTGACAGAATATAAATTGCAATGCTGATACTGTTTACGGTACAGTGTAGAACTTCACTAATAGATTATTTCACGTATTCTACAATGTATGAAGGTATCACTGTTATTCGGGCAAATAAATACATGTACATATATAATAAACAAATCGCATACTGTATCTGTCAAGTTAAGGTTCATTGATACTCTGCTGAGAGAGATAACTCTTAATAACATAAATGTCTATAATTTGTCAAGTTGAAATGTCTTTTTTTATGCCCCTGTATCGAAGAATCGGGGTATATAGTTTTTGCCCTGTCCGTCCGTCTGTCTGTCTGTCTGTTTGTCCGCAAAAACTTTAACCTTGCCCATAACTTTTGATTGGTTGGAGCTATGGCTTTCATATTTCACATGTGTATTCCTTGTGACAAGACCTTTCTTTGGGTACCACCATATTTGACCTTTTGACCTTGATCTTGGAGTTTGACCCAGTTTTGCAAAATTTTACCAAACTTTATCCTTGGCCATAACTTTTGAACAATTGGTGCTAGGGCTTTCATACTTCACATGTGTAATCCTTATGACAAGACCTTCCTTTGGATACCAACAACTCTGACCCTTTGACCTTGGATTTTGACCTACTTTTGGAAAACTTTAACCTTGGCCATAACTTTTGAACGGTTGGTCCTAGGGTTTTCATATTTCACAGGTCTTATTCTTGTGACAAGACCTTTCTTTGGATACCAACAACTTTGACCCTTTGACCATGACCTTGGAGTTTGACCTACCTTTGAAAAACTTTAACCTTGGCCATAATTTTGAACGGTTGGTGCTAGGGCTTTCATACTTCATATATGTAATCCTTGTGACAAGACCTTTCTTTGGATACCAACAACTTTGACCCTTTGACCTTGACCTTGGAGTTTGACCTACTTTTGGAAAACTTTAACCTTTGTCATAACTTTTGAACGATTGGTGCTTCGGCTTTCGTATTTCACCTGTGTATTTCTTGGGAGAAGGCCTTTTCTTGGCACATTAATTTTGA